TTACGACCGTAAACCTAGTTTTACGACCGTAAAACCCAGTTTATCGACGTAAAACTGGGTTTTAGGACGTAAAACCTAGTTTATCGGCCGATATTGATAGTTTAATTTGATAAACCTGGTTTTAGGACCGTAAAACTAGTTACGACCGTAAAACCCAGTTTATCGCCGTAAAACAGACACACACGTTTTTTCCAGACACATCGTCGCCAGCGCAGTTTGAACGTGTGGGTTACATAAGGTCAACGCGTTACAGCAGCTGTAGTACCCGCGTGGGTGCGGCGTATATAGTAGTAGGCTAGGGTTGCAGGCGTGTGGTGTGTGTGCGCGGCGCGGCATGACAGGGGGAGGTATAGATACAATAATGTAACCCAAACCCAGGATAGGGTTACAACGCGTCGCTATGGCTTTCTGTGGAGGAAATTCAGGGAACCCCTGAGTGAATCATTCAGGGCAGTTTGCTGGTGCGTTTTCAGAGAGTAGAACTTCCAAACTGGGTTTATTCTCAACATGAACCTTTCTCCGCTATCTTGGAACTTACTATGTATCACAATACTCCGTATTAAACTAATATAACCTGTTACAAAAATTCGAAGTGACGAGCGGCGAATATACTGAGCGCCATTTCTGTTGACCTGTGACGTACTTTTGTTTGAAGAGCGGATTCACCGACCAATCGAAGGGCGCTGCGTTTGCCGATCGCTATGCGCATTGGGAATGCGTACGTCACAGGTCAACAGAAATGGCGCTCAAAATATCCGCCTTCGGATCGAATAAACTTCTGCGGAGAATCCACGAGGGTCATTTGGGCATATCAAATTGTCGTGAGCGTGCTAAAACCTCAATCTGGTGGCCCGGACTTAGCAGTCAAATCAATGATCTTGTTAAGAGCTGTGACGCATGCATCAGGAAGCAGAAAGGTCGTGCGACCGACTTTCCGAAAGGGCCATGGCAGCGAGTCGCTACAGACTTATTGGAATGGAAAGGATCGTCGTTCCTTGTGCTTGTGGACTACTATTTGCGCTATGTTGAGCTGACGAAGCTCTTCTCCACCTCATCCGCAGCTACAATCAAGTCGATAAAGTCCATATTTGCACATAACGGACCACAGTATGCATCGCAAGAATTTCAGCAATTCGCAAAGGACTATGGCTTTTCGCATGCAACTAGCAGTCCGCGTTATCCCCAATCGAATGGGGCCGCAGAGAGAGCGGTACAGATAAGACTGTCAAACAGATGTTGGAGAAAGCTGACGACGATCCGTATCGTGCCTTACTTGCATACCGTGCTACCCCGCTGGAGATTGGATACTCACCGGCTGAGTTACTCTTTGGCCGGAGGATACGCACAACCGTGTCGATCATACAGGAGAAACTGGAACCGCAGCTTCCCGACTCTGCTAAGCTACGCGCGAGGGAGCAATATCAGAGGAACCATCACAGACAGAACTATACTGCTCGCCATCGTGCAGTAGAACGCGACGTCTTGTGGCCAGGAGATGAGGTGTATGTGAGTAGAGAGAACACACCTGGAACTGTTGTTCGTGTCGTCGAGACACCGTGGTCATATATCGTCGAGACCCCTACAGGGGAGATCAGGAGAAACCGTCGTGAACTAGCGTCGCGACCCGAGAGTGTGGACAGTCCCAGCAGCGGAGACCAGGACACTCAGAAACCCACCCGTGAAGTCGCTACTCCAGCAGAATTGTCCGCCCGCGATACTACCTCAACTTATTGTACGCGTTCCGGTAGACATGTAATCACACCAAGTAAATTAGATTTGTAATTACCAGGCCTACATAGTGATCAGAATTTTTGAGAGACTTTTTAACTGATCGGTTGCACCGTTTAAAAGGACACTATCGCCTAATGCAATTGGGCTTTGCGTAGTTTGATACGTGATTCAGATTTTAGTCTTAGATTCAAGTTTCATCATTCATAGTTCAATGTCACAGTTAGCTTAAAACTTAATGGAACACTCGGCTCGAAGGGAGATGTAATATTAATAACAGCTAGCGCCATCTAAGCATAGCTCTTGGAACTATTAGTCTCGTTCTGATATTAGGACTGAATTCCATCATGGCTGTCTGCTGAGTATTTCAATAATAAATCTGATGTTATTTGACTTATGCTTTAATCATAGTCTTTTTTGTATAACATACCAAGTATAAGAGTAAAATTTACCGAAAATCGGATCGAAATTACACGTTCTGATAGTGTATGCTGCAACGTTAGTAGCATGGTTGTTTACAGTGGAAGTTGACGCAGATGCGCGCACAGTTTCAGCATACCGGATGTAACTCGTTGCTCGTGCGAGTAACTCGGAATGCCTTCAGACGACGCATGTATTGTATCAAACAATTAGGCCAAAGATGAGCTTGGTTTTGTATCAAAAAACGGACCCACTGTTACCAAACGATCTATTAGCCAAACAAACGTTACAAATGACTTGCAAAATGAAATCGAAACTATACTTGTACTTCGTCGAAAAATGCAAAATATCATGATGTGAAAAGTGAAACTACAATGAGTAGATTAACAAAAGATGCAAAATATGACAGTACACGTGTCAGAAACTTCATATTCGGACCTTCCAAATCATTCAACGGATCTTCCAAAAATATTGCTAAAAAGTCCCGGACCTGAGGGCAAAAACCACTATTTACAGCCCCTGCTGTTTTCAGATATTCCTTTATTCATACTAGGACGACATCACAAATGATGGAGATCTGTAACACACAACATGATTAAACTAATTAAACTAAAGCAGAAGAGAACATGTGGTTAAACAATCAAAACTGAACTGGTACAGACACAGTACATTATTCTCCAATGTCAACCCTTTGACCATGGGAAATGAGTAGCCTCTTGGGTGTTTGGCGCATTGTAACCTTGCAAGTGGACACCACATACACAACTAACTCATGAGAACTTCGTAATGTTCATGACACATGCATTAGTATAGAACTGCTATTATTTGTCCATATATATTGTGTTATAAGTACAATAGCAGTTCACAAAGAACTACGTGTACCATACTACCGTGTCAGTTATCCTATATATATATATATATATTGTCAAACGTAAATAAACATAGGGTTGAAGAGTAAACAATTTAAAAAAAATGATCGGAACAAATGTAGAAATCTGGGTTAAACGCAGATCATTGCTGTTTTTTTCCAGCAAAGTATGTAGAGAACACCCCGGTCTTGCATAGAGACTGTGTGCCTTTCCAGACAAGGAGTGAGCAGTATGAGGCAGCCTTGCGGAGAGGTCTCAAGGTGTTTGAGTTTGCAGATGAGTGCAGCTGGTGCAAAGACGACATCGTTGCCCTGTTACAGTGAGTACAGTTTTATTTGTTGTGCCCCCCCCCCTGACCGTCCTCCCACAATGACCTGGTTGTCGTGGTTTAACTTAACCCAATGGCTCTGAACATATCTACACAGCTAAAAAAAACTACATCAATAAAACCAAGTTGTGATAAAGCGTCTTATTCAGGAACACTACAACAATGACTGTGGTGGGACTGGAACCCCAGACCTTTCAGTCTAATGTCCTAAGTGCCAGCTGCCAGGGCATCACTTCTCTTTAGCTGTGCAGACAGTCTTCCTGTTCGTGTGGATATATCTTCATGGTACCCATGTGACAGCGATCTTTTAATGTTTTGTAGGATGATAAGCAGTGATTGCTGCTTTGTCCTCCATCTTGGTCTGGTCATCCCGGCATTCGATAAACTCGCAAGTGATGAGCAGACTGCCAAGTGGCTCCCTCTGTGCATGCAGTTACAAGTGATCGCTGCCTATGCTCAGACAGAGCTTGGCCATGGTGAGTAAACTGAATTACTGGCTTCTGTAGGCTCGTAAGAAACATTCCTTTTGACTGAGTATCGATTTTGAAAATATTTGATTCGAATAGCAAACCTTACTCTATCTACATGCTCGTGTGGTTTCTAGTAACTTTCTGCTTGCAGGAACCTACTTGCCAAAACTCGAGACCACCGCGACGTATGATACCAGCACTGAGGAGTTTATTCTCAATTCACCGACCCTAACATCTATGAAATTCTGGCCCGGTGGATGTAAGTAAATCACGTTATGAGTATGTACGTAGATGCGGAAAGATGTGCGGACGATTTGTGCTTACATGCATCATTACGTTTGAGATTTATTATTTTGTTTCGTTAGAAAAGGTTGATGAATGATATTCAAAATTGATTAAATTGATTCAAATCAATGTAGTTGAACAGTCTAATCAATGTTAGTAAAACGTGTTGCGTTATAGAAACGTATAAGATTGTGAGTAACTTAGGAGCTGTTTATTCACACGTCAGTGTGGCTTGCTTACATGATGTAAAGAGAACGACTGCCGCACGTGCAGCGCTTATATACGGCAGTCTGGTAGCAGGAGCCACCGTCACTAGCTATATGTTAACACTTGAACACGCGTTAACCAATGGTGTAATCACTAACACAACAAAACGATCACTTAATCAGTGTGTAGAGTAATTTTTTTACAATAATCTGTTTATTATTTGTGTGGGCGCCGTATTGCCATTGTTAGATAACTTCAATATTGCTGTGTGATTGTTTCCAGTGGGACATTCGTCCACCCACGCGATAGTCATGGCGCAGCTGTGGGTGAACGGTAAATGTCACGGACCTCACCCGTTCTTTGTGCAGTTACGAAGCCTGCAGGATCATCGGCCACTGCCAGGTAGGCATCGTGAGATGTGCCGTGCTAGCAACGTCACGTTACTCACCTGTGTCACGAATTAGGGAACACGATTGCTACCGTAATTACATTACAGTGTTTCCCCTGGCAAAAAAGTTTTTTGGTGTGTTTGCGCATTTTTAGGTCCTAGCAAAGCGAGCACCGCATGGGCTCGGTTAGCTAGGGGGGACCGATGGCATGCCCCCCGGATTTATTTGGAAGAAATGGTGCAATTTGGCATTTAGGTGCATTCTAAGCTATTCTGAACATATTGTATGAGACTATTGCATTTTAGTTCAATAAAGTGTAGTTTATTGATGGAAGAACGGCGATTTTCGTCAGTCTGCTTTGTGCTTTTGACAAATTTCTGTGTGGCGGCTGAGAATTTGAGTGAAGTGGCCCGCCTCGCTCGTGTCAATGCAGGGGAAACACTGACATTATGACATGCGTTAGAAACGGTACTGGTAATTTTGAGCAGTGAACTGAATTGAATGAACTGTAAAAAATTTACCGATTATATATTTTTCTCCATTCATAAAAATGTGTGATCGTGTCATGCAGAAATATACTGCTATTAATTGATTTTTAGCTCAGCTGACGAAGTCAGATGCAGCTTGTAGAATCGCATGAATGTCCGTCCGTTTGTGCGTCCGTGTGTCCGTCAACAGTTATGGCACAAATCTTTACCGCTCAACGTACGGTATTGATATTCGGGACGTCGGGGGGGATCGCGAAAAGAACTCGGGATGTTGAATTTTGGGGGTAAAGGGTCAAAGGTCAAGATGTGTTCATGGGAGGGGAATATTTCCCCCTTAACTTAAGGTATAGGGAGGAAGATGACGGAATTGCGACACTCAAATCTCCGCGCTGCGACCAGATGGTGAGTCGCATCTTCACAATATTCTGATGTATGAGGTGTGATGGGGAGAAGACCATCATCAGCGCGAAATTGGAGGTCACAGGTCAAAGAACAGTGAGGGACAAGGTCAGCAGAATATCAGCACATTTTCTGAGGACATCGGTCTGAACAGGACCGAGTGCGAGAAACGCTGTTTGTTTCAGCACTGACCGTAACCAATTTTTATCATCTTTAATGAAAGGATCATGAAATGTACTTTCCGCTGACCGTCGAAGAGTAAGTGTCTGATAACCTTTAGACCGCTCAGAGGAGGGTTAAACATGTGAGTTGTGACTGCTTAACAAATGGACTGAACTGCGTTGCTAATTAGAGGCAGCCCCCCGCCAACCCTCCGCCGCACCAACCACCACTACGCTCGCGCTTGACGCATATGCCATGATAACATGTTAATATAGCCGAAGTCAGTTAAAAGTTCCACAGCTGTACTTTATTACTCGTACTACCGGTCTAATGAGCAAAGCCTAGCTATCGGGTACGATTATTACGATCTGGTATTAGTATTAGTCAGAGACTAGATTATCTCTGAGCCGCGAACGCAGTGGTGGGAGGGCGGCACTGATTGGTTGCCAGTGAGTTTATTAAGAAGAATCACACCGTCTACCATACACGTCAGTTGAACGGCTGTCGTCTGGCGGCACTTGTATCAAAAAATGAATTGCTGTTTTGAAAATGGAGTGCAGAAGGGTGGACTTCCTAAGCATAATGGGCCTAAGTCATATTTCGAATGTTTGAAGAAAAAACAGAAAAATATGAACCAAATATTAGAATATGTGAATATTGAGTGGGTATCGATGTTTCAACACAGAAAAGTTTGGGGATATATGACTTGAAATACACACTGACACTTGTCCTGTCCCAAATTGTTAGCCGGTAAATGGATGCGTGTGAATTAGATTGACTTAGGCCGAATTTGTACGAAGCATGGCGTGTGTGACTTAGGCATTATTAGCACAGGACTTAGGCCAAATTACTTCTGGGTAGGGTGAGCCTTAGGCAAAAATCTTTACTTCCCATTACAACAATATAGTTTGAATGAATTAACCATTTCCGATTTGAAAACATTTCTCTTCACTCCGCACTTCCATTTCAGTCGTCTTGATTGTATGCCTAATTTTAGGTGCAACAGTGATCGAGTAGACTGAGAGTGACCGAACATATCCAGTGTGATCTTTATCAAGTAAGGGACATGGGCCATTTAACACGCCAGACGTGGCAGAGCATCAATGGAAGAGGATGACTTAGGCAAAAAATAATAAGTTCCTCTTTCAAAATGAGCTGGACTTCGGAACTATTATTTTAGGAAGGTGACGGGATGAAGTTATGCTAAGAGTAGTTCCAAATGAGCAAGGTAGGGTTTATGAGAATACCAACCATTACAATCGGAGATTACGCTTACAACATGGTAGTGAGAGCAATCATGAAGTACCGGTCCTGATCTACCCAGCTTAATAATGCGAATATTCATTCTCGTTGGTTAGGTAACTGGTTGGTTGGTGTTCTATCACGTGATCGATGTTATGGTCATGTGCAGCACTTCTAAGTCGGCAAGTTGTGAAACTGGGCTGACAGTTGGCTCACCAAGAATTAGCTCTGGTGGCAGTACAGTGGTGGAACAATGGCTATCTGAATGTTCGACAGCAATGTGGGCGATGTCCACTGGCGACATACATCATGATGAAGAACTGCACGTGAGTTTAGTAATAGTGTTCTCGTCACACTATATAAAGTTTGAAAATTTAATTTCCCTGTTTAAGCGATATGCAGTACGCAGAAAACCGTGTCTGGTGTGGCCACTGTGAATCTTGAAACCGTCGCCCGCCAGCCGCTGCCTTGTCATTCCACACATCCTTATTCGATAGTCGTGAGTGTGCCACTGGTAATCCCGTGTGGATAGAAGAATGTTGGGCCGAACTCAGCGTGGTGAGCCGCGGCAGACGTGCGGAACGTTCAGTTAGGGAAAGTAGAGACTTGCATGATGTAGCATTGAGGCATGCCTGTAAATACCTGTCATAACCTCTACTTCTGTCACACGCCGCTAGGACAGGTGCGTGCGGTTCGACGAGGCGCTATAGTTTCTTTACCGATCTGTTGTGGATAAAGAAGTATAAGTGGTGGACTAATAACTATTTAATCGCAGCGAAGCCTTCCAGATGAACTATAGGCCAATGGCTCACTTCAAATAACCTGTACTGAGTACCTGGTACTGTAGCTCTCTTACTAGTACGCTCCTACTGTTAGCTGTGACTTACTAGTCCCACGCGTCTACTGTACTGTAGCCTCATACTAAGTACCGGTCTACTGTACTGGTACGTCATCTAGTACCGCCGCCGGCGTCTACTGGGTACTGTACCTCTACTACGTACCCGTCTACTGTAACTGTACCTCTACTAAGTAACCTCTACTGTAAACTGTACCGGTCTACTAGTACCGCTACTGTAGTATCTGTAGCCCTACGTACTAGTCCCTCTACTGTACCTCTACTAGTACCTGTACTGGTCTTATTCCTGTCACCTCATTCGTATTTCTGTTTATTCTTCTTTCTTATTTCTTTTTTTGTTATTTCTCATGTCTTATTTTCTGCGTTTCGGCTCGTGCTCTGCAGCTGAGTGCGGACGGCGTGTACACGCGCCGTGGCTCTGAGAAGAGTGGTATGCGTCGATGGTGATGATGCGTGTCATTTTTCATCGCGCTGCGTGCGGAGGAGCAACCTTGTCCAAGGCGCTGCACAAATCGCGCGCGCTACAGCTGTGTGCGCCGCAAGTGCATCGCCTGCGCCCGGGTTGAGACAGCCACGCTGCGCGCTCCGTCTAGTGGGGATGCGGCTGTGTAGGGGGGGGACACGCTACAGCTGTGTGCGCCGGCAGTGCACGCCGCGGCGGACCCGGGTGAGACAGCCAACGCTCCCGCTCCCGCTATGGGATGCGGCTTGTAGGGGGACACGCTACATGGCTGTTGCGCCGGCAGTGCACGCCGCGGCCGGGTGAGACAGCCAACTGTCGCCGCTCTCCCAGTAGTGGGATGCGTGCTGTAAGCGGGGGACACACTACAGCTGTGTGCGCCGGCAGTGGCACGCCGGCGGCCCGGGTGAGACAGCCACGGGGCTCGCCGTCCCCGCTAGTGGCATGCGGCTTGTAGGGGGGACTCGCGTACAGCTGTGTGCGCGGCGAGTGCCACCCGCGCCTCGGGTGAGACAGCCACGCTTCGCGCTCTCTAGTGGGCCTGGCGCTTGTAGGGGGGAGGTATGTTTTGATATAGCCATATATTGGCATTTTATGGACCCTGTATACGAATCTTTAAGACATCCTATATAAACAGGTGGCCATTCAATGGGGGGGGGGGCGTTACTGTGTTACTGCCATTAAAGTGAAATTCCGGTAGTGTCTTTTATAGAAACGTGTCTATTTTATAGCGATTACCTCTAACACCAGTTTAACTGTAATCGTAGTAGAAGCACATTTACAGCGTATTTAAACACGTTGTATGGCCGTTCATATTATATCGTCATATTGAGTGTTCTCTTGTTGAATGGCTGCATGCCTGGATTGTCGGGGTGCATTATTTCTCTGTGTGGTCGTCACAGTGAACAGGAGAGTCAGGTCATTGATTATCAGACGCAGCAGATGAAACTCTTCCCTTGGATTGCCATGACCTTCTCTTTCCTATTTCTCCGGAAACACGTAGAAGAGGTGTACAACGCCAGAACAGAGGAGATGAATGAAGGAAACTACTCCAACCTGGCCGAGGTAGGAGACACGGGGCGAAATTAGAACCGGGGGGGGGGGATCGGGTGATTAAGGAACTAATTCTTTTTGGCAGTCGTTGTCTGCCTGATAGTTAGAAAACCAAGTGACTGTTTCCATACATTCTTCAACTGTACACTCGCACTAGATGTGTTGAACCTTTTCTCAATGTGTTTATCGGTAAAAACCTCTGTGATGGATTTGATCGTTGATGTTGTGATGATGATAATTGGGCTACGACGTGTTCGACCGATGGTCTGCATGGTTTCAAGCTTCACTCAGTCTTTGCCGGGCTGATGGCATAGATTTTAGATCTGTATTAGTAGTATCTTAGATATATGCTCTGTCAGAGCGCGAATGCGGTGGTGGGGGGAGGGCGCTCTTGATTCGGTTGCCAGTGAGTTTATCAAAAGAATACCCGGCTACAGTACACATCAGTTGAGCGCTGTCGCTCTGCGGCACTTGTATAAAAAATGAATTGCTGTTTTGAATAGACCTTCCTAAAATAATGGCCTAAGTCATATTTTCAAGTTTTGAGAAAAACAGAAAAATATTAACCAAATATTGACATTTATTAATCATTTCACACAGAAAGGTTTGGGGATATATGACTTGAAATACACATGACGCTGTCTGTCAAATATGTTACATAATATGTTAATTAGATGACTTAGGCCAATTTACGAACATGGCGTTGTGACTTAGGCTATTTTACACAGGACTTAGGCCAAATTACTTCTGGAGTAAGTGACTTAGGCAAAATATTTATTCCCATTACAAACAATATAGTTGAATGAAATTAACCCATTTCCATTTAAAACAATTTCTCCCCTGAATCTTCATTCTCAGTCGTCTTGATTGATGCCTAATTATGTGGCAAAGTGTCGAACTGGGTAGGAACATCATTGATCTTTTCAATAAGGACTTGGGCCATTTTACACCAGAGGTGGCCAGCATCATGAAGAGATGACTTAGGCAAAAATATAATTTTTTTCAAAAAGTGACTTAGGCTATTATTTTAGGAAGGTGACGATGTGTAAAGTAGTTCCAATGACATATGGTTTATAGAATCCATACATCATTCCTACAACCATTAACATAGAAGTAGTCCCTGTCACACTTAATAATGATATTATCTCGTGTGTTGAACTGTTGTTGTTTCCACTATCAGTTAGTCATCAGCATTCTATCGCAGGTGTGAAACTAGGTGACATTGGCTCCAAGATTAGCCTGCACAGTGTGGACAATGGCTATCTGATGTTCAACAATGTGCGATGTCCACGCGACATACTCATGATGAGGAACTGCCACGTGAGTTTAGAACTGCCACGTGAGTTTAGTATAGTGTTCCTCGTCACACTATATAATTTCCTGTTACAATCAGACGCGAAACCTGCTGGTGTGGCCGCTGTGAATCTTGAAACCCCCTTCCTTTGTCATTCCACACTCCTTATTCATAGTCGTGTGTGCCACTAATCGTGTGATAATAGATGTTGGCCAACCAGCGTTGCTCGCACTCAACGTCAGTTAGAAGCGTAACGTAAGTAGAAGTAGAATAGGACTTGCATGATTAGCATTGAGCATGCCTGTAAAATACCTGTCATAACACCTCTACTTCTGTCACACCTATAGTTTGCTGTTACCAAAAATATATGGGTGGAAATATCTATAACTCCACAAGCCTTCCAATGAACTATAGCCATGCTCACTTCAAATACCTGTACTAGTACTGTACTGTACCTCTACTAGTACCTCTACTGTACTGTACCTCTACTAGTACCTCTACTGTACTGTACCTCTACTAGTACCTCTACTGTACTGTACCTCTACTAGTACCCCTACTGTACTGGTACCTCTACTAGTACCCCTACTGTACTGGTACCTCTA